TCCGAGAAAGCAGCCATCTTTGGGACCTCAGTTGTCTGAACTTGTCTCTAATTCAAGAAAGCAGCCATCTTTGGGACCTCAGTTGTCTCCAATCCAAGAAAGCAGCTATCTTTGGGACCTCAGTTGTAGCGAGGACTTCCTATGACGTCCAAGACCGGCCATGCCAAAGTTTACTGACCGAGAGGGAAGGGAAAGTGTCCACACACATGAATGCCATTTTTATTTTTTTTTATTTTTTTCTTCTTCCCCCCGAGCTGTGGCATAGGCCAAGATATTTTGGCTGTGGTAAACGAGCACTCAAGGAGTTGAGATGGCGGGTCCCAAGTAGAATGCGATGGACAGATTCCAGAAAGACGCAGAGACTAGAAGGATTGGCGGCCAATGCATGTATTTTACCGCATGTTCTTTGATATCCAAGTTCACTTCTCATGCACTTTGATGCCATACATGTATCACTATACTTAGAGATTTTTTTTCTTTTCCAAAAGAACCTGGTTCCGCTTACTTTTGGGGGTCATATGAGCATCCACTAGTATTTAGAAATTTTTCAGTATGATGGAGGAGGTTATGCAAAAGTCTGTAGACTGGGTACTGCTGATATTTTTGCTGGTAGTTTGGCACAGTCTGCGCAATATTTTTCCGCCTTTGACAAGGCAACCTGAATCTGAGTGCGACGTATGTATTGTATACTTCCTGCCTGGGACATTTCCGGGACAGTCAATGAGGAGAATAGAGGACTAAGAGAAGAGGGTATTGTATACTTGCTGCCTAGGTGAGAACGCATTCCGGATGTCCATCATGTCCAGGGTAACATGTGCCTTCCACATTGTGTTAGCGATGTGTGCACACTGTGTGCTGATGCTATAGTGATGTGCATTACAATAGCATGTGCTGTGTGTGTGCGCGCGAGGGGGAGCGCCGCTGTATTGCTTTCCCGTTTTTTTGGCAGTAGCCGGATTTTCACCATGTTAGCCAACTGTGACCACAGACAGACACCAATTTTGTTAGTGAGCCAGTTTACGATCCGAGTCTTTTAGCGGCAGCAGGTGACTCATGTGGTGTTTTGTATACTAGGCCCCATGTTGCAAAACCAAGTTTTCTCTAAGCATGCATTTAAGGGGAAAAAGTTTGTTTAGACAGAAAAAAAAACAGGTACCTTTGGTACTTGTCTTCACCTATTTGTAATCTCATGGATCTCAATGCTGCCTAGTGCACTCTGTCTGTCTGTCTGTCTGTCTGTCTGTCTGTCTGTCTCTCTCTCTCTCTCTCTCTCTCTCTCTCTCTCTCTCTCTCTCTCTCATACGTTTGGGAAATCGGGACTTGTCTTTACCTCGTTTGTAAGCTCAAGCCTCATGGACCTCAGTGCTGGCCAGTGCACTCTGTCTGTCTGTCTGTCTGTCTGTCTCTGTCTCTCTCTCTCTCTCTCTCTCTCCGTGTGTGTGTGTGTCAGTAGCAAGTGAAGTCAGGACGAAGGTTTGGTATTCTTTTGATGTGATGGCTGGCCACAGAGCACTGGCGTTCGGAAAGTGACTGTGTGGGTCACCCTGGTGCAGAGTCCATATGTGGACGGACGAAACATGTTGAGGCCCTTGAGGGTCAATGAGGGACACTATGTTGCTCACAAGATGCAATGCATCCTTTGTGGGCTCTGGCTGTCTCTGGTATGGTAACGGGAGAAGTGGAGTGCGAGCTGGTGAGATGGTGTGAGATGTGTGGTTCATTTGATCTTATCTTCTAGGACTGTTTTGCCACCTGTTTCTGCACTTGACCTCTAACTCGTGTCACGGATTCTTCTGTTGTTCTCATGGCTGCATGATTTACATCCCCCACACACATTGTGTGGCCACATATTGCCTCAGTTCTTTCTCTATCTGGCTGTGTGTGTGTGTGTGTGTGTGTGTGCCTAACACACCCACACAAACAGACACAGTGTCACACACACACACACACACACACACACACACACACTTACACACACACACACACACACACACACACACACACACAAACACACAAATACAAAAAACAAACAAACACTGGAAAAAAAAAAAAAAAAGCAAAGATAACCATTTTTTTCTTCTTCTAATGTTCTCTCTCTCTCTCTCTCTCTCTCTCT